CATTAGGGACGGAAGAAAAGAGGAACAACCGTACAACGTTAGAAACGGAGCTGTGATCAAGCCAACCAACTCTGGTATGATTCTGCTTTGCGAATCTGCGCATCCGACTTCCACTAAGCACAATATAATTCGAAATACGCTCCATATGGCTCTAAGCAACTTATCAAGCAGTGAAAAAGACGGAAGGAGCAGAAAAATATGGACTTAGCTGTTGGGCAATGGGCATTTTCCACGACCTTAAGGCTGAATGTTGGAAGAGGTCAGAACTCTAGAGCACGTAGGGGGATGTATGGTAGGAAACAGGAACACACCCGGTCAACCGACGGATTCTTAACACTATCTTACACAGATGAGCATTTGCTTTTGAAAATCAAACATGTCGTTAGGAAATCAAAACTGCGCGTACGCATGGCTTGGACGAACAAGAAGCTAAATAAGTCTAAGGTGAAATATCCTATATCGAAGCCTAAGTGCCCGAGGGACAATAAATACTACTATGCAAGCCTGGGCTCAAAGGGGTTTGCACGAAAAACAGCGGGGTTTATGAAATGAACGCACGCACGAGTGGCCGGTTGGATACCCTTCGCTCGGGTGGGAGATGGGGGGGGGGGCTAATTTCATCCGCTGATACCTCAGGAACTAAGGGAGCTAAAGATGCCAAATTCGCAGGGTGTGTTGACATGTACGCCAACTCACTTAGGTTGACGTTCGAGGTTTCTAGGTCGTGATCTCTGGATTAAATAAGGTCAAACAAGGCCAAATTCCAAGTTGGTCTCCAAAGGGCCTCTGGAACCTAGATAACTGTACTAAGCAAAAGGTCACATGCTCATTTGATATCAGTGGCTCTTTTTGACCTTGTGAAAGTCATGGCGATCAAAATCATACAAGACTGCTTTGAGTTTTGCAGTTGGATAACCGACAAAGATTACGCTAGGCAGTGTGTTGCTAGAAACAAAGTGTTGACCTGGGTCATTTTAGATCAGTGACTTTTTCTGACCTTTAAAAAGTCCATGAAAGCTGTAAAATGTGGTTTCTGTTATCAATAAATTTGAAATGAGAACCAGAGACTACCCCACACAGCAAGCCCTAGAGTAATAAAAACGGCTGGTCCTGACCTTAGTCTGACCTCCTCACCTGACCCGAGGTCAATTTATTTTGCTTATTCAATTGTTGTGCATCCAAGAAAGTATTTCAGAGATGTATGGTTTTGTTTAACACTCCGTTGTTGGATCAGACCCTAAAAATTGCTTTCGATGAAACCATGACTTAACTTTGACCTGCCATAGGTCAGCGGCCTTACATGGTGCATTTAAATGTTTGATGCCAGACGATTTTCTATTTAGTTGTGCACAGCTATGCATAATTTGGTGCAGCCACGCCGTGCCATTCCGAAACCATTCCAGAAAAATGTTCGGGGGCGGGGTCAATTTGGCCCCCATCCGAGCTCGTGTCTAAAGTCTAAGTCTAAACCTTGTGAGAAAAAAACAGAGAAATGATATCGGCGATGTCGGGGAGTCCTTGCGCCTTCTTGGTTTGAGATGTAATGAACATCTGCGAGATACCAATATAAAAACAGATAATACCATTTTCGGCGATCATTTTTGGACAGAGCACACTCGGCTGAAATCCAGGGGGATACGGACCCTTCACGCCTTTTAGGGCTCAGGCCCCTGGAGTAAGTGGAAAGAACCTGATACTAACATGATGAGCCCCTGAGCAACTGAGCGTACCCTGGCGTATGGGGCCCCGAAACAGCGTACAGAGCCTTTCGGGAAAACAGGAGAAATCCGTGGAGGACAACCTGATCGATCAAGAGCGCTGAGGCATAGAAGCAGATAGCGTCACAACAGCGGCATTGGGCCCCACGAGAAAGTGCAAAGATACCAAGAGCAACGTAGAAAGCTCCCTAGCGATCAGAATGGCCCGGCAAATGGACATATAGGGTCCAGGCAACAGCGCTATGTCTCTGAACAGCGTAATGAACCCAAAAACTTCCCCCAAGCAACGCCTTCTCAATCAGCAAAGAATTAGCTTTATCTGCTCATGAAGTCTTTAGTTTGCCAGTAACCGTTCTTGGTTGTCTGTGGGCCCAAAGACGGCCAATCGAGTTGCATGTAACGTTTTGTCAAAAAACTGCGTCCGGTCGACCAGTTTTGAGCCCCTTGTGAGCCTATAGGTCCCTCGGCATGGTTCATGGGGGGCATGATCCCGTACTTTCCCCTCCCCATCTGTATCCACCACCGGCTCCAGGAGCTGAAGAGGGAAAAGCATCAGGCCCGTCAAGAACATAGGACCATCCTTTCAACTAAGAAGTAACCAAAACACAGCATGGAGAGCCTCAGAACGATCCAGTGTGCTCGAGCAGGTAACAGATGGGGTGCTCCCGACAGGAGCGCGGGGCCAGTTCCCGAGCAGGTTATTAAATCGGGCTCCCGTCAAGAGCTCAGGGACCTCCATTCAAATAGAAAGTCCTCAAGATCCAATGAAAAGAGCCCCCGAAAGATAAAGTGTGTTCGAGCGTCTTAACAGATAGGGCTTCTAACAAAAGCGTAGGGCCCTCCATTCAAACAGGAAGCACTCAAGACCCAATGCAGATGGCCCCCGAACGATGAAATGCACCCCAGCAGCTTATCAGAAGACGCCCGACAAGAGCGTAAGGCGCTCCATTCAAATAAAAAGTATCCAAACCCTGTGTAGAGGGCCGCCGAAGTATGGAGCGTACCCGAGCAGATTACCAGGCGGCCCCCGACAGGAGTGCAGTGCCCTAAATTCAAAGGAGGTGAACAGATGGGGCCGCTGACAAGAGCGTAGGGCCATCCATTCAAATGTGAAATACCCACGGCACGATGTAGAGGGCTCCCGAACGACCGAGGGTGCCGAGAATGTTAACAGATAGGGTCCCGTGAAAAGCGCACGGCCCTCCATTCAAAAAGCAGGTACCCAAGGCCCGACGTAGAGGTCACCCAACAATCGGATGCGCCAGAGCGGCTTATTAGAACGGGCCACGACAAGAACGTAGTGACCTACATTTAAATACTTAGTGCCGAAAGCCCAGTGCAAAGGGCCCCCGAAAGATGGAGTGTCTCGAGCAGATTATCTGATGGAACCCGATAAGAGCGCATGGCCCTAAATTCAAACAGCGAAACCCAATGTGCAGGGTCCCCGACCATTCCAGTGTAGCGGAAAACAGTGAGGCGAACAGAGGGACCCCCGACAAGTGCGTAGGTCCCCTGTTCAAAAAATGAAGACCCGGTGTGGAGTCCCCTCCCCGAACGATCGAATGTGCCTGCGCAGGTTATCAGATGGGCCCCACACTGGAGCCTAGGGCCCTCATCCAAATAAAACGTACCCAAGACCTAGTGTGGAGGGCCCCCAAAAAGAGAAGCTGACAGAAGTTCCTAAAGGTCGACTGGCACCTGGCACGCATTTCCTTTCAATTCAAATCAAACAAACATTGTTAACGATCATGAGTAACTATCACACTACGGCAATATAGTCTGCAGTGGACAGAGGATGGTGAGGAAATCTGGAATCGGACAATACTCGTACTTGATCAGAATAGAAATTGAGGACGGACATTGGGAACTGAAAGACAGGAAGGAACAGAGAACAATTGGTAAGCAGTAAAATGTTGCATGTTTCCACCCATTTTTGAGGCGTTAAACATGTCGGCGATGGTGTAGTTTCTCCACCTTCTTGTAAATAGTGACATCACCCCTTTACCCAAGTGGAAAACAATGTCAGGACACTGGATCGAAGACAGTCCAGCCATCATGGAGATGTCGGGGTTCGGTTCAAATCCGCCTCACCTCTCCGCTGAAGCCGACCCTGCCATATCGCTGGAGGCGGCCACGTGACCTGGCCTGACCTCGTCCGACATCGGACCGGCCCGCATCGCCCGCGGCGGTGAGGTTTGACTCATGTGCCATGTGTTCGTTAGTGCACCCGTGTCGCCGAGCGTTCGTCGCACCCAGGTCCCGCCTGTTGACTTGTCCACGAAGTTCATGTGGCCGTTTCAGGCGTCTATTGTTCCGACCAACACCGAAAAAAGCACAAGGTTTGCTGCCAACTTCCCAAGAGTACATGTCACTTTCCAAGAGGACATGCGACTCACATGTTCTGGGCACTTGCGATCTCTTCGCGCCGCACGCGCCCCACAGCTCGGGCCGGCACTCGGCTTCCGCCGCCGGACGTGTGCTGCCGTCCTCGGTACAGGGTAGGAGAGCGGAGCTGATGAGATGAGTGGTCGCCGTCCCGGGCAGGGCGTTAAGTGGAGAGAGGCAAGTTATGGTAGAGAACACTGTGCAGCAGGGCGCCGTGGAGACGCGCCACTCTTGTCGCTGTCAAGCTCATGGAATTTTGGTTTTCTTTTCTATATTGCCTGCTGCAGCATTGTTGCTAACTCGCCTTTTATACCATTACACCCTCGAAAAAGCCTTTCCATCGAGGTTTAGCTATGTGGGGGCTGAAGCGGATTTAAGCACGCGGGAAGCACGCACGATTTAAGCAGGCATTATTATCTGCAGCATTGTTGCCAACTCGCCTTTTTATACCATGGCAACACTCAGAAAAAGCTTTTTCATCGGCGTTAAGCTATGTGGGAGCTGAAGTGGATTTAAGCACACACAGAGCGCACCTTCGCAAATGTATCGGACTGTTCCTTCCGTAACATTCCGAACACGTGATCGGAACTGCTCATTTATTACCAGTTTGAAACAACTGGACCTCTGCTTGCCTGCCTGGACAGCTGGACCTCTGCCTGAGGATATTTGCTCACTAAATTAGAACTATGGAGCAGTTGGGCGCGGGATAACTCACGCAAATCTCATCTCATTTGCAGCCCTTTCGCGAGTCAAACTTAGCCTGCTATTGAACACATCTGCCATAGCAGCAGCGCTGCAGTCAACTGCTCGCACTGAGGACCATGCGGTGGAGATGATTCACCTTCTCACAGCGCGGCCCACCGTCACAACCATCCAGACCGCAGAGCACACGCAAACTGTGACGCTGTAGTTCTTTATTGACCTCTGCATACTACACCGCAGCAGATATTATCCCGTGACCACACTGACACGATTACGACTCGACTCCACGACGGGGGATGAACTGTCCGTCCAGCCAACGCTGATGATAGAGTTGCACGCGCCACGCCACTCTGAACTAGCCAGGTCTAAATAGGAGCAGACTGGGGACGCACGCTAAACACGCTGGCGAACAGTCAATCAAACAAAACATGAGTGAGAACACAGCAAGAGGGCTGAAAGCTGGTCTGGTGTCGAGCATGGGGACGGCGCGAACCACTCAAAAATGTCCTTTGAACTATATTGGGAGGTAGTGCCGCATCGTACCGCCATACTTTCGCCACCAGGCAGCCCGCTGCCCACACCAAATAATAACTGCGCGCACGCAGACGCCACTAGACGCTATATTCCATTCAAGAGTATGGCTCCACTGATCTACAACTAATATACTAATGTGCTGTATCCGTGCCATGCAAACGTAAGACCACCTTCGTTAGACGCGTCGAAGCGGGAGCACAGTGCGTGTGTGACTCTCAAACACGGATGGTGACAATACCACGAATACACATGCCGCAGAATAAAGTCGCAAGCAATGAACTGCCCTACCAGAGCTCAGCTCCATACAATGAAAACCTAACCACACCGACTTTTGCGAGCCGAGCCGGAAACAGAAGACGGAAAAAGACAATTTTACCCCCGCTTTCCATCCACAAGACATTTCCTAAAGGTATAGATCTTACATCGTTATCTACGTTTACGTCCATACGGAGAGGTTCAAAAATATGCAAGTTTGTAGCTTCATCCCATGGGACTAAACCCTGAGGCGACCAGTCTGCACTACCGGCTAAACAAAGCTGGGGAAACCCTGTCAATACACGACACGCACGGCACACAACGAGAGAACATCCGCGCAATAAAAGCGCTAGCAAAGACCGGAAACAGAGCACGATGGCACGGGACCGTGGGAACCACGACTCTGTGGTCCAGCGGACCGTCGCCTGCGAGCTCATCCCCGACACACACACACGGGAGCGAGGCAAACCGAGGTGTTAGGTCCAGTCGCGGCGCTCGCAGTGAGGTGGTGGACGGTGGCCAGACGAGGAGAGCACCGGCGACGGCCGACTGTCGAAAACTTACGCAGCATAACTTGCCGAAGATGGACAAAGCATACCCAGACATGATTACAGAATAGGCACCGTCGGAGGAGCTCCAAGTTACAAAATAAACAATGTAGGAGGGGCGCTAGATTCTGAACTCGTCATATTGTCCGAAATATAGCACGCATGGTAATCTATTGTTCAGTTCTGCTGCATATAAAAGAATCAAAACCTGATCCTGTTCCATTCTACCTCTACAATTAGTCCCGAACGCGACGTCGCATCTCTCAACACTACCTGACAAAGACGAGTTGGACGATGCTACGTTACCAAGGCAGCAAGGCAGCGATGGCCGACCATTGGCCATAAAATATATATATACCCCCGAGATTTTTCCCAAGCAACTGACCATTTACGCGCAATCAGCTCCTGATCGACGCCGAGACATGAAGCATGGTCCAGCGATCCGAGATTGACCATCCTGACGGCATAAAAGCGGTGCAAGGTCCAGCGTCTGGTCTGACCGCTTCGAGCGGCCGCAGCAGCGCATCAGGCAGTGCCTGCCATCTCCGCGAGGAGCGGACCCCGACTGGGTGTCACGCCGGCGGCAGAGCCTAGGCGTGGGCGCCCTTCCGGATGTCGACGCCGGTCATGTTGCTGACCATAGTGGGCACCTCGCCCACCACGGACAGCACCTCGCGCGTCAGCTTGGCCACGCCCACCTCCCCGCTGCCACCAGCCACCATCGTGATCTTCTTGGTCTGGGTGAGCGGCGCCGCCACCTCGGCCGCAATCTTCGGCAGTGCCTCCAGCATCATGTCCACCACGGCCGCCTCCTTGTACTCGCGCCAGGCGTCTGCCTTCTTGGCCATCTGCTCAGCCTCGGCCTTGGCACGCGCCTCGATCGCGAACGCTTCGGCCTGACCCTTCAGCGTGATGGCCTCGGCCTTAGCCTGTGCCTCCATCACCATGCGGTTGCGGTTGGCCTCGGCCAGACGCTCCATCTTGTATTTTTCAGCGGCGGCCGGCTGGCGCACCTTGGCATCCAGCTCCTTCTCGCGGCGCTGGATCTCCTGGTCCATCACCTGGATCTGTTGCGAGCGCTCCACCACCTGCACCTGGATAGACTCCTCCTTGATGCGCTGGCGCGACTTGGCCGCCTGCAGCTGGTACGCCATCTCGGCCTCGGCGCGCTTCGTCTCCACCTCCATATCGTACGCGGCCTTCTTCAGCTGGAAGTCGCGCTGCGCCTTGGCAATCTCCACGTCGTTGAGCAGGCGCGACGCCATGCGCTCCTCCTCAGCTATGGCCTCGTTGATGGCAGCGTCGCGTTTGGCCTCCGCCTCGCCGATCGCGGCGTCACGCTTGACCTCGGCCGTGCGTGCCATGCCCAGCGCCTTCAGGTAGCCCTCCTCGTCGCGCACGTCCTTCAGCGTGTACGACACGACCGTGATGCCCATGTTGATAAGGTCGGAGGAGGCCACGTGGAATACCTGCTCGCTGAACTTCTTGCGGTCCTTGTAGATCTCCTCGACGGTCATGCCGCCCATGATGGCGCGCTGGTGGCCCTCGAGCGTCTCCAGCGCCACCTGGCGCACCTCGTCCTCGGTCTTGCCCAGGAACTGCTCGCAGGCGGCCAGCAGCATCTCCTCGTTCTGGCCCTGCACCTTGACCTGGGCGATGCCGGTGACTGAGATAGGCACTCCCTGGCTGGTGTAAACACGCTGCGACTCCACCTGCAGCGTCATGGTGTTGAGTGAGATCTTCTGGCACTGCTGCAGGAAGCCCCAAACGAACGTGCGCCCGCCGGGCACCAGCAGCGGCTTGGAGTAGCAGCAGCCCGAGATGACGAGCGCCTCGTTGGGGCCGCACGTCACGAACCCGAACGTCATGCTGAGTCTGCGCTGGGGACCGGTCAATCTGTCGAGACAGCACAGGCAGCCGTGTCATGATGGGCAGGTCAGCACCCTGCCGCTAGCTGACGCCGCCAGGACGCGCTCTTGGGCTTCATGTGAAAGTTCATCACATATTTGGGAGGCATTTGACAGAGAACGAAAATTGCAGAAATAGATACCACAGTTTTTAGTCACACATCATGGAACATAACATGCAGTTAGCCACAAATCATTGATGTCAAGATTGGAGCTTTGCTTAGGTTTGCAGAGAACACAAAAAAATCCAAACATATGCTGCCTGTACTTGAATTTGGAGTGCATATGTTCTGACTTAAGCAAAGGCCTGTCCTGTTAAGTTGCTGCCCAGCACACCACAGCCAAGGGTTCTGCAACTTAAATGGCATGTGAGACTGAAGTTTTTTTTAAAGATTTATCTGATTTGCAGACCCCCTCACAGCAGCACAGGGGCATATAGTACTCCCAAAACATATCCTACTTTTCTTCAGCTTTAAAACAAAACTGGAACTGCCACCAAGGTAATGATCACATACAAAACATACCAATCAGTCACTATCACTGAACTATGGAGGTACAGCCAGGTGGTTTTGTGATTTTGGGCAGCATGTTGGCATCACCAAATGGTAACTATAACCTAAATGTTGATAACTATAGACAATGAAATCGAATTTAAAACATGTTTTACTTAGGCATAAACCAGTGAGCATACAAATGATACAGCATGTCACTTAAGTCATATAAAAGCAGCAGTTTCAAAAACTGTCAGCATTTACAAGGCAAGGAGGGATGCTGTTTTGGGATGTCAAAAATCCAGCAATAGTATTTCACTGCGACTTGTATTACTTCAACAATGATAAGATCAAACAGACAATGGTCAAAAACTGTTCAATGCATGAGTCCAGAAGTGCTGAGCTGGACGTCAATGATGTTTTGAGATTATATCACTGGAATTACTTCCTGGCTTGGCAGTCAGATCCTCAGTGGTAACAACTGTTATGGATTTTGAACTCCAAAAATGGAAAGCACCTATGCCACCCCATTCATCAAAATATGGCATGCATTTGTAGATGCATTCTCAAGTGGATTAGCCCTATTTCAAACACATTTCCTTCTTGCAGTTAACTTATAAATGTGAGCCTAGTTGGTCCTAGCCTTACACAAAACCTACTTTGCTGTTACATCACTCAAAGCTGGGCCTGCAAAGTCAAGACAATAGAACAAATGCAGAGCTCATAGCACAGGTCCAAAATTTATATAAGGTGCAGGGGAGCACCTCTTTACTGTGTTAAGTCCTGCCACAGGATGGAGCTTCACATTGTGAAATGTAACACCCACCCCAAATTTAATTCCCATCAAAATACTTATTAACTGGCATAGACTGCTCAGGTGGCATCGACTAGCACACTATTCATATAGCAGTGTATCCCTTTACTATGGGAGCTACACCATTTATATAGTTTATGTGTAAATTTTGTGTATACTTTTTCAGGAGCTATCATGTGCATGACAGCCTGACTGACTTTGTAGGGTTCTGCAATTTGGTTCAAACATTTCCTTTAAATCTGAAAGGTACACCTCATTGTTGCATTACATCATGACCCAATTTGTTCCTGGAGATATAATGAAACACAACATGTTGGGCTTGTAGACTACCCAAACAAATGGTGGAATACCAAGTATTTCCTTCAGGTGGCCTGCTGTTTCCAGACACTATGAAATAAACCAAACACTTAAATCAAATTCATCCTGTTGGAACTCCTTAAATACACAAGCCTTGAATCTTTTAAGAACCATGTATAATATACCTTGTTATTGATATATTACATCATACTACATTATCATATATGATGTGTCCAGTTATTAATATTGACTCAACTGCATGTCTGAATGATAAAGCTAATGTTTTCTACCTACTTCTTTTATCATTCACTGATACCGACATGATTCTCATAATATTAATACCTATACAACCTTAGCAAGTGGCTGCTAAATATTAGTAAAAATTCAACTATGCAGTGCAATCTAGTGATCTTCAATTAATGTTCACGCCAGCCTAGCCCAACTACAGCACACTAGCAAATAATGTTTGATGCTGCAGGAACTTAGCCAAAGCTTAGGAGTAGAAAATGTGGCTTATTCACATATTCAAATCACTCCCATTCAGGTTTGTTATCCATGGCCATTAAGCAGGAAAGACAGATAGCAGTGCCTAATTCAGACCAGACCAGAAACGGCTGGACCGAGTTCAGCGACGAGCTACCTGACTTGTTTATGAAGCGAGGTGCCAGTCATACCCCGAGAGGCTCAGGCTCAGACTCCTTCAGCTGTCCTCACTGTACTATCGTCGTTGCAGGGGAGACATGGTAACAGTGTACCAGCTATTCCAGGGAGGCATGTCACTATGGGAAGAAGAGTTCCTGACAAGGCACAACTCGGAGGTGACGAGAGGACACCAATGGAAGCTCAGAAAACCTGGAGCTAGGACTCTCGTCCATTGCAACTCATTCAGTAGGTGGGTTGTCAATGACTGGAACGTTGTCAACAACTGGAATGCTCTTCCACACCCCTTTGTGTTGTCGACCTCAATTGAACAGTTCAAGGCTAGGCTTGATACCCACTGGGCTGACATCATATAGGACATCCCACACTGAATCTTCCCATAATTTGAGACTGTTTGGTTACTGGACTGGGAGCCTGACGAGACCAGGACCTATGGGCCTAGTGGCCTTTTACAATTCCCGATCACCATAAGGTAAGGTAAGGTAAGGTAATTCATAAATGTCATGAGAAACAGCAAACATAACAACTGGCCCCTACAGTAACTATTAGAAAAATGCAACCAATGAAACAGATGCCCACCTGTTAATATTCGGTGAGCCTGGTGCAAATGGGTACCAAACTGAGGCCGGGCCAAATTGTGTGAAATTGCCCCAATATTTTCCAATAACATTCCTCTGCTGGTATTTTTGTTTGGAAGCAACTTACAAGCATCATTTTTCCCTGACAGATATGCTTCTTATATACTGAAAATGGTGGCGGCCATGCACTCTCAGGGCACTCAGATTTGCTGTAGGGGTGTGCTGAAATTGCTACCACAATGCACCTGCCATGTAAGAAAAACAACATCCATGTTTGTTATGGATGATCATACATCCATGTTATAAGGAAAATCATCCTGTTTCTTGTGGTTCATAATTTGTTTTTGTAAATATCCTGATTTTGTTCTTATTTGAAAATCAGCCAAACCTTGGTTAACTCAGTAAGCACCCAGTCACAAGATATGGTAGATTTCAACAAGATCTCGCTAAAGCAGGATTGCGACAATTATTTCATACCAGGGTACGGTTTTGAAAATTTAAAGGCAGGAATTCCTCCATTGGGGTAGCAAGTAGACACAAATTATATTGTGACGAAAATCTTGGAGACTCCGTTCCGCAAATCATTACTTCTGACCCAAGCGGAGAAGTTGGCTGTCCATTGACTTGACCTCAATGAATCAGATCCATGCCAGCGTTTAAATGAAAAGCAATATGAGCTACTTACGGAAGATTGAAGACCGCTACGCGCGCGCAGTTCTTGGACCTCAACCCCGCTTATACACCACGTCGTCTCACACACACCCTCGCTGCGGAACTTCCCAACGCGTATTTTGTTATCCCAGTCGCTAGAGACTTTTCTTGACGAAATATCTCAAGATAAGCTTTGGAGCTCTCGCTGACTAGGATTCACCAGCAGCGTATATTTGTATATGCGTCGTTACAGGTTCCGGTAGGTACGGCAGGCAGATAAATATGCGGCAAGCACCCCAGAATGCCAGAAAAACGGGCACCAGCTGAAGCCATCACGCCGTGTATAAATACTGTGTCAACGGTGATGATGTCTCGTTGAACCGCTCGCTTGCAAGGTACTCAGTCCTAACGTTACAAAATTAATCCGTCTCTATGTGCAGGATATAAACATAAATTCCCGCTACCAGAATTCCGGCTCCCTGGAGGCCTCCACGCGCACATTTTGTTGGCAGCTTTGTCCTACAATCCCAAACCGTATCATTGGACCTGCCCAGCCCATTTGCCTGCCCCGAGCCGGCTGCATGCTGGGTACACCGCCGGCCGCCTCAATGCTCATTAGCCAATCTTGCACGAGGGGCGGAGGAACAGGCAGAAACGGCCGATCAGAGAGTGGGAAAGCATGCAAAACATCGACACAACTTCACGTTTAAAATATCGGCATCACACCCCTGACTTCAACTGGCAAAATTTCGCCAGACTGCCCCTTCTAAATCTGGCCGTGGTGCGCCATGAGGCTGGATGGTGTTGTCACTACTCCCGCCGTCGTGTCATCTCTTAACACACGCCCGGGTGGCCCGCTAGATAGCCTTCGCTCGGGTGGGGGGGGGGGGGGATCAATTTGACTCCCTGAGATCTCGGGAACTAAGAAAGCTAGAGACACCAAATTTACAATGTGCATTGGAACTGTACGTGAACTCACTTAGGTCAAAGTTTCAGGTTCCTAGGTCATGACCTTCGGGAAAAAAGGTCAAACAAGATCAAGTTCCGGGCTGGTCTCCAAGGTGCCCCCAGAACCTAGATAACCGTTTCTAAGCAAAAGGTCACCTCATTCAAGATCAGTGACCTCGTTTGACCCTTTGAAGGTCAAGGTGACCAAAATCGTACAAGATTGTTTCGAGTTTTGCATTGGACTAAGCGACAAAGATTACGCTAAGCAGTATGTTCCTAAAAAAAATGTTGACCTGAGTCATTTTAGGTCAATGACCTATTCTGACCTCTAAGAAGTCCATAGAAGATGTACCATGCAGTTCCTGCTATCAACAAACTCGAAATGAGCACCAGAAGCTAGCCCATACAGCAAGCCCTAGAGTAACAAAACAGGTTGGTTTTGACCTTGGTGTGACCTTCATACCTGACCTCAGGTCAATGTAATTTGCTTATTCAATTATTGCGTTGCCTAAGAAAGCATCTCAGGGATGTATGGCGTCGTCTAACACCCCGTTGTTGGATCAGATTGAATGATTCCCTACAAATTGCCTTCGCTGAAACCATGGCCTGACTTTAACCTGCCATAGGTCAGCGACCTTACAAGGGCAATCTAAATTTTTGATTCTGAACGATCCGCTATTCAATTTTATGCAGCTATGCAAAATTTGGCGCGGCTTTGCCGCGACGTTCGGAAGCAATTCTGGAAAAACCTTCGGGGGGGTCAATTTGACCCCCCACCCGACCGCGTGTTAATCTTTGGCTATTATAGTACATTTAAACGGATCCAGCTGCCCAGTCGGCCAGAAATTTTGAATGGCATCGACCATGTACGGGCATACACAGCTGAACGATGCTTGCACATCCGCACAACGCCATGCCACCTTGCTGATGACATCACTGAGAACATACGAGTGAAAATGGAACAATGGTGGCTTTCGGTCTGGTCACGTACGACCCTTTGTCCTACCACCAACTCCAGCGCACTTATGTCAGAAAGGTAAATCATCACAGAGCAAAACCGAACTCTGCCATGTTGGCGTGGGATTAAGCTTGAGTTTTGATTCCAGATGCGAGAGGGGCTGACGTCACTTATGGTCAGCTGTCCGGCATCGGCACCAAACAATCCTAAGAATAAAAACCTTTCGTTCTGCCTTAATCGCTCGCTCGCGCTCGGTGTTTGTTCCCCGTACTTCGTCTTTCTCGCCCTCAGTCTTGTTCTCTGCCACGGCAAGACCGAGACAGCTTAAAAGATCAAGGCCCTCTTCCACCTGCCCGCACCTGCCCGCTTTCGCCCCACTGCACTCGCCTCTCTTTTTAACAGTCTCACCGGGCTTTCATCGGCTTACAGTTTGATGCTTCCATCGCCAGATTATCGTTCCCGATGCTGGAAATGAGCTCGGTGACGGGATCTTCGTGCTGTTTGAGATGTGCAAAAGCTGCAACATGTACTTCAGGTGTATATCATATTCCTGAACCAGTGGTCCTTTCTGACATTTAATCAGTGTCCACGATGTTACTGACGTAGGAAAAGTGCAATGATCGCAGTGTTGCAGACCTTCGGGATTACTTACCTAAGTGTTTTTTTTTTGTGAATCAGTCTGTGGCGCGGGTTTTAGATAAATTGCATGACAAAACTGCGGTCCATTTTCTGTAGTGGTGGCGTTTGCGTCAGTTCCCCCAACTCGAGACTACCGACATTTCATTTGGGTGGAGGATTGGCCGCTTTTAAGTAAGTTGAGCCGTTAACCTTATTATTGTTTGTAGCCAGAAAACAATGGATGGATTTGACCAATCGGAGTCATGAAAAGCTGACTTGTTTGTGATGTTGGCGACCCGATGGTCCTGAAACACCATTTTATATAATTGATACTGGTTAAATGTGTCCGCGCAGGCGTTCAGCACTGACCAACGGGGTGGTTTGCGCCTCTTGCCATGTCGGGAGCGTCCGGCACCGCTCCGAGACAACCAGCAGGGGCAGCCGACCCTGCGGCGCCGGGAGCGTCAGGAATAGCCTCACCGGAGCGCGCGGAGTAGGGGCCAGGGGCATGCGTGGACGGAGTCTACTGTGCCCATGGGTGCTCGCGCAGTGGCTGATCCGGATAGAGGAAAGACTACATGCGCCTGCATGCGACGCTGGCACAACTCCAGAGCAGTGCCGGTCGGCGTTCTATACTGCACGGCTGCCTGCAAGCCCGGGGGAGAAACACCACGCGCGTCGGCGTTCAGCCAACGGCAGCGTTGTACCGCCGCTCTGTTAACCCCCGTGGCCGGACCCGTGTATCAGCTGGTCGCCTGCCAAAATGGCCGTGACTGCGGAGCACAGCTTAAGTGCAGCAGATGGCCAACGAGAGAGTGTGGCACTGAAAATCGTGCAATTGTACGATAGGACGATAGGACAGCGGATAGGATAACCTAGGACAGGATAGATGAGATAGGACGGATTGATAGGACGATGCAGTGACGCAGACACGCAGTGGCCCTTCCCTCAGTGGCGAGCGTTTTCTACGGATTTTTTTTGCTGCTGCCGCTTTTGTCATGATCGTTGCAGAATATGGGGAGATGACGTGTCTGTAATGAAACGTAAAGCGCATCATTTCACGCGTTTGGAGATACGCTGGTCTGTAACGAGAAAGGATAGTACAGCTGCGCTGCTTTCGTTAGAACAGACTCATACAGGAGCTGATTTAACAACCCCGATGTAAAATGAGGTGTTGCGTCCTCTGCACGAGTTTATGCGTGTATCCCTCGCTCAGCATGTGTGTGTGTACGTGTTTTGCCCCAGCATCATGGAAAACAATACATGTGAGAGGTGCAGCACGGGAAATGCGGGAAGCGGAAGACAGTGTAGGGAGGCAGGACATTTTTAGACCGCGATGCGTGATGATGGCGACTATTTCATCGCAGTGCACAAGGTCGAATCTTAAATGATTGTGAGCACGCGCGCACACGGGCAAGACTAGACGAGTCGTTATCGTCTCGTAGCGCCTCCGCAGAACCAAATCGTAATGTTCGAGTATCGAGTTAACGAGGGGTGTGACGTTCTGTTTTCTCCCTTCTCCAGCGCTACATGCTGATCTTCTGTCTCTCGGATTCTCCAACGCGTTGAAGAGAGAGAGAAAGAGAGAGAGGGAGAGAAAGAGGTGTATATGTGTATATATGTATGTATATGTATGTATATGTATGTTCGTGTGTATCTATATATATATATATATATATATATATATATGTGTGTGTGTGTGTGTATGTATGTATCCAACGCATTGGATAAGATGGCTACGCATTAGGCGGCTACCCTGTAACACCTTGGAGCGGGGGACAGATCCAGGGGGAGCCACGGGGCCATGTCCCCCTGGGCCCAGAACCATAGGCTCCAGGCGGCCCCATAGATGGCAGAGCAGACGCAGCTTTTTAACAAAACGCAACAAAATTGGATGTTTTTGAGCTTCTAGTCAGCCAAAAACAGTCGCAAGCGAAGGTGAGGGACCCACGAATGGACAAAAATAACTATTCACTGATTGAGAGCGTGGTGATAAGATATCTTAAGGCTCACTAAGCTGTCCGGAGGATCTACGCTGCTCCTGGGGGTGCTATATTTCCACTTGCATGGTAAAACGGGTCGCTAAAAAGCCTTTCACGTTGCTTGTGACTTTTTTGCATGTGCTCGGAGGCCCCGCGCTGTTGTCGGGGCTTTCTCTGTGGGTATGCCGGGACATCCTTGTCGAGCAGGGACCTTCCATAGATTCTTCCCATTCGGCTTTATGCGCTATAGCCTGAGCCTCATATGTTAGGCTGCCAGGATATTCTAGGTCGCTCAGGGGCCCTTCACGTTGATTTCGCCTCACCTACCGACACACAAGCTATATGCTCGTGGGTCCCCTACATTGGTCTAGGGGCTCTCCAATTCCCTGACACTTGCGGAGGGCTCTACGCTTCTGTCCGATACCCCATCTGTTAACCTGCTTGGGCACATTCGGTCGTTCTGGGCGCTCCGCATTGGGTACTTCTTATTTAAATGGAGGCCCTACGCTCTTGTCGGGAGCCGGGTCTCTGAGCGTGCCCGGGCAAACTCGATTGTTCAGGCGTCCTGCACATTGGGTCTTGGGCTCTTTCTATTTGAATGTAGGGTCCTGCCATAATAGGATCCTATCTGCTAG